CATTTATGACGGTTGCAGTGTCCCGGGGTTGTGTGTTCCCCTTTTGCAACCTTCCGACAAGCCAAGTCAATGGGGAAGCCAGATTCACTTAACGACGTTACTCACTTAACAATTGCAGTGATTCACTTAACAACAGTGGCACAAAAAGTCATACAAGGAGGGGGGCAAAACTCACTTAACAAATGTCTCACTTAACAACATAAAATTTGGGCTCCATTGAGGTCGTAAGTTGAGGACTACCTGTATGATTGGCTATTCCCTATAAAGAGCTCTTTCCTGTTATTCCAACTTTCATTACAGAAGAGAGAGGCTTTTGAAACCGTGTAGGTTCATAAAGCTGTATAGTCAGGTAACATGACTCTAATCTATTGATGGCAGGGATATTCATCATTTCAAAGAAAATCTGTACATAAAGTGCAATCCCAAACAGACCTTTCTGATTGGTTATTCCATTTCCATTTTGGTTATTTCCATTCTAATTTGCATGTCCTTATACACCCACCTTGTGGCCTGCCAGCTGCCAGCAAAGCTGGCAGTAGACTCGGACGATGAAGAGGTTGGGGAGGCCAGTGCTGGAGTCTGGGGAAGGCTCTGATGGATGCTCTGCGTCGGACGCAGAGATAGAGCCAGGGCCGTCTGACATTTCCCAGCCACCGGAGAGGCAGCTGCCTTTGGAGGCTGAGATTAGTGAGGAGGAAGAACAGCTGAGACCTGTTCCAGATGAACGTATGCACACAGCAGTTAGGAGAGGAGAACAATGGAAGACAAGGAGTCAACTCGGGAAGCAAAACACACGTGGACGCTGAATGGGCCCTCTCTAGCTGGGGAATAAATAGAAGGAAAGGGGAGTGGTTTTCGTAGGAGACAACCGTTCGTATTTCTGAAGATTTTGCTCATTGTGATTCGTGGCACAAAGACTCCTTGCCAGAACTTAATTTGCAGCCTTTTTGGCTGGGAGCTCACAGCCTTGCAATTATCGCAAGGAACTGATAAGGTCTGTTACTGCAATTAACTCTTTGAAGGACTAATGCCTGGACTTTTCGGTGGGTGAATGCAATTAATTCACAAGAGGAAAATAAAGAGGGGTTTTTCGTGACAAGGAGTCTGTTTCTTGCTTCTGCTAAGGCTGGGCCAGAACACCCAGGCAGTTCTCAAGTAACAACCATTCGTTTAGTAACAGTTTGAAGTTACAACGGCACCGGAAAAAGTGACTTAGTTTTCACACTGCAGCGTCCCTAGGGTCACGTGATCAAAATTTGGCTGCTTGGCAACTAGCATGTACTTATGGCAGGTGCACTATCTCGGGATCATGTGCTCCCCAGTTGTAACCTTCCCAGCTGCTTTCTGCCGAGCAAAGTCAACGGGGAAAACCAGATCTGCTTAACAATAGTATGATTAACTATTACAGTGATTCACTTAACTATGGCAAAAAAGGGTCATAAAACATGGCATGACCCACTTTAACAAGCGCCTGGCATAGCAATCGAAATTTTGGCCTCAATTTTGTGGTAGTAAATCCAGGGCTATCTGTAAGCACCCAAAGGTGCTTTTTTTCAAGAGGCAAATGGACTTTCTTGGTTTTCTTGGATGACGTTTCACTTCTCATCCAAGAAGCTTCTTCAGCTCTGACTAGATTTTATTTTTATTTTATTTTTTTATTTTTAATTTGATTTATATTCTCCGGAGACTCAGGGCGGCTTACAATGCGTTAAGCAATAGCCTTCATCCTTTTGTATATTTATACAAAGTCAGCTTATTGCCCCCACAATCTGGGTCCTCATTTTACCTACCTTTGAAAGGATGGAAGGCTGTCAACCTTGAGCCTGGTGAGATTCGAACTTACAGTAATTGCAGACAGCTGGTGTTAATCACAATGCTTAGTCTGCTGAGCCACCAGCTCAGCAGACTAGATGGTGGGGAATGGAAGGATTTATATTCCTAATAACAACAACAGAGTTGGAAGGGATCTTGTAGGTCATCTAGTCTAACCCCCACCCCAAGCAGGAGCCCTTGCACCAATCCTGACAGATGGGAGTCCAGTCTCTCCTTCAAAGCTTTCAGTGATGAAGCTCCCACAACTTCTGAAGGCAACTTCTGTTTCATTGGTTGATTGCTCTCACTGTCAAAAAAATTCTCATTTCTAGGTTGAATCTCTCCTTGATCAGTTTCCATCCTTTATTCCTTGTCTGACCTTCAGGTGCCTTGGAAAATAGCTTGACCCCCTCCTCTCTGTGGCAGCCCCTCAAATATTGGAAGGCTGCTATCATGTCTCCCCTGGTCTTTCTCTTCACTAGACTAGCCATGCCCAGTTCCTGCAACCATTCATTCGTTTTAGCCTCTAGTCCTCTAATCATCTCTGTTGCTCTTCTCTATATTCCCTCTAGAGCAGGGGTATCAAACTCACGGCTCACGGGCTGGATGCGTCACATGCTGGCCACGCCCATCCATTTTAACACAGGGGGGGGAGTTGTGATATGTCACATGACAACAATGTGACAACGTGAGTTGAACACCCGTGCTGTAGAGCAGGGGTGTCAGACTCAAGGCCCAGGGGCCAGATCTGGCTCGTGGGGTGCTTAGATCTGGCTCACGGGGCCACCCTGGTAACAGTGAAGGACTGGCCCACGGTGCCTGTGCCAGCAAAAATGGAACTGGCGAGGGCCACGGGCGGCCCTCCCAACCTCTGTTTTCACTGGCAGAGGGTTGCAGGAGGCCGTTGCAACCGAAAACGGCGCTTGGGAGCCCGTTTTCTCTAGCAGATCTCTCGGGTCACCACAGGTGCCCCCAACACGAGTGACGTCGAGCTGCCCATGCCCACCCTGGCCACGCCCACTCCCCCCCCCTGGTCAAACACAACCCTGATGCGGCCCTCAATGGAATAGTTTGCCACCCCTGCTCTAGAGTCTCAACATTCCTTGCAGACAGCTGGCCATTTGCATTCTTTTAGCGAGTTTTAGCAAGTTGAGGTTTATCTATGTCCTCAGGGTCACCCGAGTGGTGCAAATGGGTGTGGAGCCTCCTTGGAACTGCTAAAAGGACTGTGTTGTAGATTGGAGATAGATGATGTCTTATCCCTCCCCCTCTGTTGAGAGGGGGCTGTTCAATTTTGACATAGATGGCCCCTTTGACCCCTTTCCTGTAACTCTGCACTATTCGTGCGGAAAAGTTTTTTTATAGAACTGTCCTCGGTCCAGCGAGTTCTGCAAATCTACTTTGCATGCATATAAAGTGTTGCTTAATCATCAATTTTGGCACTAAAACCCACACAGATGTTGCAGAAATCTTGCCCCAAGAAAGGCAGAGCTTCAATCTTGAGCCTTTTCCAGCTTGGTGCTCTCCAGTTGCAAGGAACACGCATGCTTTATTAATTTGGTATCCTGAGCTGAGGATGCATATGCATGTATCTCATCTTTGGTTGTTATTTTTTCCCCCACTCTTAGAACCAGGTTGGATTCAGAGCCTCACCCCACACAGTAAGCCAAGGACAGACTTGAGTCAAGGTTTTTGAGCCAAAGAAGAGGTTCAACCCTTTAAGGCACAGTGGGGAAGGTGATAGGAACTGTGGTCCCCTTGCACATGGGAAAATGATGGGAACTGTGATCCTCTTGCAGCGGGGAAGAGGATGGGAACTGCGGTCCCCCTGCACAGGGGAAAATGATGGAAACTGCCAGTCCCTTTGCAGGGGAAAACATTATGGGAACTGTGGTCCCCTTGCAGGGGGGAACATTATGGGAACTGTGGTCCCCTTGCAGGGGGGAAGGTGATAGGAATTGCAGTCCCTTGGCACAGGGGGAAGATGATGGTTACTGCGGTCTCCTTGCATGGGGGAAGGTGATGGGAACTGGAGTCCCCTTGCACGAGGGAAGGTGATGGGAACTGTGGTCTCCTTGAATGGGGGAAGATGGGAACTGGTGTCCCCTTGCACAGGGGAAGGTGATGGGAATTACAGTCACTTGGCACAGGGGGAAGATGATGGGAACTGTGGTCTCCTTAAATGGGGAAAGATGGGGTTTCCTTGCACAAGGGAAGGTGATGGGAACTGAAGTCCCTTGGCATAGGAGAAAGTTGATGGGAACTGTGGTCTCCTTGAATGGGGAAAGATGGGAACTGGGGTCCCCTTGCAGGGGGGAAGGTGATGGGAACTGCAGTCCCTTGGCACAGGAGGAAGATGATGGGAACTGTGGTCTCCTTAAATGGGGAAAGATGGGGTCCCCTTGCAGGGGGGAAGGTGATGGGAACTGCAGTCCCTTGGCATAGGGGGAAGATGATGGGAACTGTGGTCTCCGTGAATGGGGGAAGATGGGAACTGGGGTCCCCTTGCACGGGGGAAGGTGATGGGAATTGCAATCCCTTGGCATAGGGGGAAGATGATGGTTACTGCGGTCCCCTTGCCTGGGGGAAGGTGATGGGAACTGGAGTCCCCTTGCACGAGGGAAAAAGAATTAAGCGGGGTGGGGGGGGGCGACCTCCAGTCGACACTCAAGACCCCCGCCTTCCCCAAGAAGCGCAGCTTTAACCACCCGCCCCGCCCCTACCGCCCTCCTCCAGCCCCTCTAGCACGTGCTCCTCCGGGCACCACAAAACCTCACTTCCGGCAGCGGGGAAATAGGAGGAGGAGGAGGAGAAGAGAAGACGGCGCGGAAGGTTTGGGGGGGGGGGAAGAGAGAGAGAGAGAGAGAGAGGAAGACTCAGCAGCGCGCCTGCGCGAACTTCCCTCTCAAGCTGGAGGCATACCTTTTTTTTTTTTTTTTTAACCCCCAATCCATCTCGCGCCATTTATATATACTCTCAAAAAAAAAAAAAAAAAGACACGCCCCCTTCTTCTTCTTCTTCTTCTCCCCCCCCACTGCTTGGCCCCACCTACCCCTCCGAAACTCGCCAACCAGCGAGCGAGCCTTTTAGGCAGGCAGGCAGGCAGGCGCGCGCGCGCACACGCACGCACGCGCCCCTCCGCGGAACGCCTGCGCCCCTCGTGGGCTCGCGGCGCGCGCCCGTCCGAGGGGCGGAGGGAGGGGGGGGGCGACTCCTTTTTCCCCCTCAGCGCCCGTGAGGCGGGTCCGGGGCGTGAGGGCGGCGCTGCTGTTGCCGCCGCCGCCGCCGCTGCTGCTGGTTGGGAAGCGGGGGCGTCCGCCGCCGGGCTTTTGGGCTCGGCTTCCCTCACAGAGGGGGCCCTTCGGCTGAGGGAATGTGAGGCGAGGAAGCGGCTGCTGAAGAAAATATATAAAATTAAAAAAAAAAAAAGGGTGGTGGGGGGGGCGCGGCGGTCGCCTCAGGCTTCTCCAGTGCGGGGACGGGCGGTGCGGCGGTCCCCTCAGGGGAGGAAAGAACGGGCGGCGGCGCCTCCTCGTCGTCCTCCTCGGTCGTTTCCTCGCCTCTCTTCCCGCCATGAAGAAGTTTTCTCGGATGCCCAAGTCTGACGGCACCGGCGGCAGCCCCGGAGGCATCGGCGGTGCACCGGCGGCTGGAGGCGGCGTCGGTATCGGTATCGGAGGCGGCGGCTCGGGCTCCCTGTCGGTGGGCAGCAGCAGGGTCTTCGCCGTGGGGCGCTTCCAGGTCACGGTGGAGGAGGTGCTGGCCGAAGGTGAGCGGGGAAGGCTTACCCACCACCGCCGGGGCCTGAAAAAAAAAAGAAAAAGCCCGACGCCGCTTTCCTTCCCTCCCGTCCTCGCTTTTTCTGCTTACCCGAATCAACTCCCGGTTATGACAGGCGGAGAGAAGGGGGTGGTGGTGGGTGGGTGGGGGCCCTTACCTCGCTTCTCTCCCCGGACGAAAGGCAGAAGTTGCCGACTATGTGGGCTTCCCTTCCTCCTCCTCCTCCCGTCCCGCTTCTCCCTTTGCTCTCCGGCTCTGCCGTAGGAAAAGCCGGGGTTGCTGAGGCGCAAAGCCTTGGTTTCTTGCCCCCCCCCACACTCCCGAAGGGTTGGCTTACGGGTGTGTGTGCCTGTGTGTGGGGTTGGGGTGTGTGTGTGTGTGACTCCCTGGGAAGCGAGCACAAACCCCATGCATTGGGGTGGGGGCTTAGGGGAGGGGGATAGTAGGGAGGCGTGGGTGGGGTTGGGGGGTGTTCGAGGCCAGGTGTTGGGGAGAGGGGTGGGGTCGCTTCCCCCAAAAGGGGAAACGATTCGGGTAGAATCGAATGGGTATCTTTATGAACAGCGTTGGGGTGAACTGAAATGTTGGTTTATTGTAGTCGTGTTTGAAGGGGGTCTCTCTCTTTCTCTGTGCTTCCTGCAAGCGATGTTGGTCCTAAGGATGGAAAAAAGATGCTCGTTTGGAAGAGGGAGGACGGGTAAAGGGAGGAGGAATATCTATCTATCTATCTATCTATCTATCTATCTATCTATCTATCTATCTACCATCTACCTACCTACCTACCTACCTACCTACCTACCTACCTACCTACCATCTATCTATAGTAATCAGATGTTTAGATTGGGTTTGGCATTTTTATCCACAATTTAGGTTATCAAGGACCTGACATAGGCAGTTTGTTATATTCAATTTTAAGCTGTCTGTCTTGTCTCTCATCTATCTCATCTCGCTTTCATCTCCATCCTCTCTCTCTCTCTCTCCCCTCTTTTCTATTTCATCTCATCTCTCCCTTCCTTCCTTCCTTCCTTCCTTCCTTCCTTCCTTCCTTCCTTCCTTTTTCTTTCATCTATCTATCTATCTATCTATCTATCTATCTATCTATCTATCTCTATCATCTATCATCTGTCAGCTATGTTATCACAAGGCAATGGACATATGTAATACTTCCGTCTCTTGTTTTCCCCACAGGAAAAACCTCTGTGAGGTGGGTTGGGCTGAGAGAGAGAGAGAGAATGAGTGAATGGCCCAAAGTCATCATTAAGCCTGTTGATCAAATAAATATAAAAGCTTGTTTTCTTTTTGTTTGACATGGTCAGAGGCCGTCAAGGTCCACTTTAATGGTTTACATTCATCATGTGAACCTCTGTACATAGGGGTTAAGGGTATTGTAAATCCATTGGTAATCAGCTCAAAATTCTGGGCGCATAACTATTATTGTTCAGGGTGGTTATAACTTATAAATGACTTATAGGGTCTGTTTCTCCCAGAATGGTGTATAGAGATGCAGATACAAGATAACAAATTAAGCACTGGTGATAGGTATGTGAAAATATAGCTAAGCAAAATGACTGAATTTTATGAGCTGTCTGCATTCTAAAGTTAAGAAATTCATTTTCATGATTCATCTAAAGGCTGCTCATCAAGATAGTCAAACACTGAATAACAGCAGAAAGATTATATACTTATGGGCCTATCACTTGCAGAAAGGTCCTTGTCATATTTGTATATATAAATAATTTTATTTAGAGGGCACTTGACCAATGTCACTGTCTATACAGATCTATACAGGGATGCTGGTAACATAAGAATAAGCCATTTGTTAACAACACTATGAACTTGGCCTGAAAGCAGGTTTGTAACTAATACAATTAGTTCAGAAGAAGTGTTACATGTTCAGATTTCCCAGCCTCCGGATGGTCACATGCTGCACCAATTTAAATTTCCAAGCATTCTTCAAAGGCAAATGTACATGAAGTACATTATAATTGTTTTGTTTGGCTGCAAATGATTCCTACTGTTGAACTTTTGCATGTTTAAAATAAAACTGTGTTTGGGGGAAGGGAGATTCCTGCTGCGGGAAGGGGAATTTTTGCTGTAGGTTAAAGTGGTATTCAAAACAAATTTAGTATTTTTAAGGAAACAGCATGACTTTATATAGTGTAGTAGTTGAATGCAAAGGAGAAATATTTTCCACATTTATGAGTTTCACTAATGACTGTTTTCTACTCTTATTTGTAATTAAAATAAAAGGATTTGTCCTGAAAGAATGGTTTGCTTTTCCTATAAATAAAAACATGAGAGATTGCTTCTAGTTTGTAGTGTGATTAATACATTTGTAAGATAATTGGGAATTTTAAGGAATTGTAAAAACTACAGCCCCAAATCTGATGCTCTTCAAGTATCACAAAATACTTTATTTTTGTTTTTGTTGAAACCGAATAAGGCAGCTTTCACTTTGGAAAGTTTTGCATACAGCACTGTAGATGATTTCAGATATAAAGTTGACAGTGGAAAAAAGATGTACAAGGTGATTTGTGGGCATAGGTTAATGATATATTTGATAAAAAGCGAGAGGGGGAGAGAGAAAGAAGGTGCTATGCAGTCAGATACATTGTGCCTGGATTTTTTTCTCGGAGATAAAACTTGCAGATGTATTTAATTAGGATATGCTGGTTAGTTTATATATGCTGAAAACCTAAGTGTTTTTGGTATTTCTTCTAAATATTTAGGAATAAATAATGATTCTTATGGAAGAGGTACCCCCTTTCCCCATAAGGCAAATTGTAAGTATAATCCTTTTCTCAACTGTATAAAATAACCACAACAATGCTGCCATTAAAAACTGCATTCTTCAGAGGTTTGTCTTATTGATCTTCCACTAGAATGTTCAAGACTCTTTATAAACAGTATTTATCTGGAACATAAATTCATTATTAGATAACTTCTAATACTTGTTATAATCTAGTGGTCACATTGAGAATTTTGAAGTGAACTGAAATTGCAAAATGGTTGCTGGGAGGCATTGCCTATTCATAATGTGGATCATAAGGGTCATAATGGGATACAAAGCATTTATTTATATAGAATATTACTGCCACTCATTTTCTGCTGTTCTTGTTTATTCTTGCCCTTTTTCAGAGGAAGGGGGTATAATAAAAAGAAATACTAAGTTACAGCCATACCATAAAACCTATGTGGGTCCATGTGGGGACTGGAAACGCTTCTGGAAATAAAGATGATGTTGGAGGCTAGCACTTCACTTTGCAGCCTGGTAACCTCTTTTATAATTCAAATAAATATACATACATACCCATCATACTATGATAGTGTGATGCAAAGTGTACAGTGTGAGTGAGAAGTTATAGTTTTGGTTAATCAAGGCTTTCACATAGTACTTTTAAGTAAGATAACAAATAGGGATGATGAACTTAAGTTGTATTCAGTCTGAATGCAGCATTTTATACTAATTATAAGAGCACACTACCAATCAAAACTGATTGGTAGTATGCTCTTATAATTAGTATAGAATGCTGCATTCAGACGGAGTATAACTTAAGTAGTATATTTTAGCCAGTATGCCACAAGAAGAACCAAAACCCAGTTTACTAAACTGTCCTTGCACTTTTCTATGCAAGGTAAGTGTTGCCTGCATCCTGCTAACAAGAAAGTGTGAATACAGTGTATCTGGTTAGAAAGTCTGATAAGAGGCTGTATCTGTGAATCTATTGTTTCCATTGGACTGTTGGAATTAGATAATCTTTTTAATAGAGTAAATATGTCATCTTAGGTAACCTGCTCCAACTTTGAACTCTGTGTGTGTGTGTGTGTGTGTGTGTGTGTGCGCGTGCGTGCATATGTGTGTGTGCATGTGCCTTTGACTCCTTGTGACTTTTTGGACAAGTCTACAGTTTTCTTGGCAAGATTTCAGAAGTGGCTTGCTATTGGCTCCTTCCTAGGGTTGAGAGAGGATTGGCCCAAGGTCACCCAACTGCCTATATGTTTAGAGTAGAACTAGAATTCCTGGTCTCCCATTTTCTAGTTTGGTGTCTTAGCCAGTACATCACACCTGCTCTCTAGCATGTTTATTTTTCCTTATTTCGATCAGGTACCAATTCTTGGAAACTGCATGGACAAATCCTTGCAGTTTTCCTGGCAAGGTTTTTCAGAAGTTGTTTGCATTGCCTCCTTCCTAGGGCTGAGAGAAGGAGATGGGCTGAAGATCATCCAGCTGGCTTTGTGACTAAAGTGGACTAGGACTCACCTTAATCACTAAACCAAATTGAAGAACCCTTTGGAACTGGTGAATTAATGTTGGACCAATCCCATTCTCTTAGCCCTACTTGTCTCAAGAATGATAGTTGTGGGAAATAAAATGAAAGAGGAAACAATGTCTTAAGCTCCTGGAGTAAAAGCAAGATATAAATGTCTGTAATCCCTAAGTAGTTGTACAATATATTTGAGAAGGCATATATTGAGAAAAAGCTGTCTGTAGCTATTCATTTAGGGATACCTTGGTAGTACAGGGGTTTAAGCCTTGGTAGTACAGGGGTTTAAGGCACCCTGTTATTAAGCTTATTAAGACCAGCTGCCTGCAATTACTGCAGGGTTCGAATCTCGCCAAGGCTCAAGGTTGACTCAGCCTTCCATCCTTTCTAAGGTAGGTGAAATGAGGACCCAGTTTGTGGGGGCAATAAGCTGACTTTGTATAAATATACAAAAGGATGAAGGCTATTGCTGAGCACATTGTAAGCCGCCCTGAGTCTCCGGAGAAGGGCGGCATATAAATCAAATTTTAAAAAAAAAAATACCAAGAAGGCAGTTGTTACTAGAGAATGATGTTGAAAGTAGTAACTCCCATATCTTTCTCAGGTTTGCTGTTTGAAAAAAAGACATGTATTGACCTGAGTGACAAGGAACTGAATGACTGTTAGTACATTTTAGAACATTTATTTGCCGAGCTGGAATGTAACAGGCTGGGGTAAACTGATTCAGCATATGTATGAATTTAGTTATCTAAATTGACCTGGGGCAGTCACTCTCTCTCAGCCCAACTCACCTCACAGGATTGTTGTGAGGAAAATAGGAAGAGGAAAGTGTGTTGTATATATTCATCACTTTGAGTTATTTAAGTGAGATATAAATAAATAAAGTAAATGATAAGACAAATTTTCAAGTAAATATGCTGGATGGAAGGTGTTTAGCTATACATGTCAGTAAATACAACCCAGCTGCAGTCAACCTTGCAAGCCGTTAAGTGACAAACACTATTTGCACAGAAGAAAATACTTTTGCTGTGTACACATCAATGTACTCTATGAACATATCAATAATTTCCGTATTTCACTGACCACAGTTTTGTTGTTGCATTAGTGAGTTTGATGTTATCAGTCATGGGAAATGGAAAGCTGCCGATAACTAGGGTGTGTGGTTTTTCACTCCTAAAGGCAGGGGTTCTTGGTATTTCTGGTATTGTATCTCACTAAAATAATACATTTGTGTGATTCCTAAATAGTGCTAGTGACAACAGCAAAAGCAATGATAAGTACAACAGTAATAGCTGTTGAAAGAATGAGGACTTTTTGCTGCTCAAGTTGCTGCCTCTGTCTTCCCTGATCAGCTGGTTAGGATGGTAGGATTTGAGCTTTTCCCTGGTCAGATTGGGAGGAATGTTGTTGCGGAAGTCTCTGAGGCATGGCAGCTGAGAAAGGATGCATTTTATGTGCGTGTGCCTCATTGAGTGAAAACGTCCCGAGGGGCAGTTGGCTCAGCTTTACTTCCACCAAGTTTCTGCTCAGCAACTTTGAGTTTATTGTACCAAGAAACGAGGGGAAGGCATGAGGATGGAGCAAGCATCATGAAGAGAAAGAGTTGAAGGAGGGAGAGAAAGAGAGAGAAAGAGGTCAAAATAAAAAGTGGAAAAGGCCTCTCTGGAAAGTGAGAATTCACCACTTGCTATCCTATGGGAATTTCTTGCTATCTAGATCCCCTAGTCAGTCCTTCTGCTAGTTTCAGCCTGGTGACCAATAGCTCTGGCAATCCTCCTGCTATAAAATGGATTTTAGAATAGCCCTTTTAGTCCACAGTTTAGGGGTGTGTATGTGTGAAGGTACTTCTGGAATCTGGATTTGGATGCCCTTTGCCGGAGGAGGAAGGTAACTTGTCAGTTTTAGTGCATTCAAGGCGCTTGAAGAACGTGACAACTTGTATGGCTAGCAGAGAGACATGGCAGAGAGACTAGACAGCCACAGAGATGATGACATTGAAGAAACAATGGCGACAGCTGCAAAAATACAATAGAGTCCAACATTGTGGTAGAGTCTGTTTTCTGACCTTATCTTAAAGGGCTGTGGAGGAAGAGCCTGAAGTGTTGTGGCAGGAAGGAAGATGGGACTTCTGAAATGTTGGATATCTGGCTTTATAGAAAATGGAGACTGAAGAGCAAGGGGCTTTGTAGCAAATGCTTCCAGATACCCTGAATCCTTTTATTAGCAGCAGTAGCTGCCAAGCATTAGTGGTAGAAATAGCCAAATGAACGTGCCATTTTTACCAGTCGCTATTCATAGTGATGTGTTTGGCGCCACGGTTTTTCTCAGAGGTGCCTTTGAGAAAGCACATAGCCTGAACCCTAGTCTGTGCTTCTGCAGCCTATCACCAGCCATCCTTTCTGTATTCTCCACAAGTTAGAACTCCTATGCTCCCTGCTCACTCATCCTTGAACCTTCAGGCCACCCAGAAATTTTGTTATAACACCCAGGGTATTGTGGCCCCTTGTTCTCAGCATGAAACTAAGTATAATGGTGACCCACCTTAAATGGATTTTTAATGGTATCAGAAAAAAATACAGTAATAGCAATACATGACTTTTCCCAACAGACTGATGTATTTGGTTTTTCACTTTTCTCACGCTGTTCTTTGTTTATAAAAGGGGATTTTTTGGATCCAAAGTATTGTACCACACACACCCTGTCCATTCGGATGAATTACGGGCTCAGACTGTGCATTCTTTATGTGAGCAAAATAAGTTTGTCCTTTTGGATGGGATTTAATCTTTGCAAAAACCACAGATATAGATACATTTCTTGGTCATTCCAGGAACAAAATATAAATCCTGGAATAAATCTTTAGGATTTCCTAAGCAATAGATAGGAAACTCAGATAGGGAAATATAGGTATTTAAGGATTATGGGGATTGAAGTTCAGTGTAGCTGGAGAACAAGCTTGCCAGGCTGGCTATAACTTTCCCGTTTGTATAAGGAGTTATTCTGCTAATGTTGATTGCTACTGTCACTGCAATTTTTGTAACTTGTCAGC